CACGTGATCGTCATTTGCAGAGCATACATAAATCACGTGAGCTTGCGGCGCTGGCGGCTCTGCGCTCACCATAGCCGCTTGTTCACGTGATTACTGCATGTCTTTATAGTTCACATTCACGTGATCATTACAACACATACAGTCTGAGCCGACCAAAGTGGCGCTAGTGGCGCGAAATGGCACCTAATGGCGCCAAATGGCGCCATGGCTAAAAATGAATGCCACTTTCGTGAACAGGGCACTGAATAGCCCCAGTAAGCAAGTTTATACAGATGTTGTTGAGAAAAGTTGTGGCGCTAAGGTGTCGCAAAGTGGCGCCAAATGGCGCCGGCCAAAACCCAATGTCGTAGAATATGAGCATACCCTCGGATACAGCTCGGCGAGCTGATTCTAATCATATATGGGTATCTATACAAAAAGTCAACAGGAACAGCTCTATAACGAAAAAACGCGGATCGGCGTTTTTTTCGTAATTTTTTGAACACTTACGGTGGGCACTGTACTACAGCTCATAGGGAGAGCTATGATTTCCAGAGAGGGCGCGGGAACATCAAATGAACGTGGGCGTTGCCTTTAACAAGGCGTGCAATGCGATGCGAGACCAAAATTGAAATCTTTCAATCATTTAAGCCGAATCAGAATTGAAGGCATTGCTTTTCGGCCGAACATTCGAAACAGTCCCCTGCTCCTACAGGTTCCCGTCTGAAAGCAAAAATAAGAGCATATGGGAAGTCAACACTTGCCGTCCTAGTACTCCCGTTTCATCAATTGGTAATGGCAAAAAGGGCCTAAAAAAGCGTACTATTTTACAGAGCAATGGCTTCTTCGCTAAACGAAGCTTCAGGACAGAAAAAGGCCCTTACTCGCAGGTCAACCCCGGCGCATACGCCATGATCAATCTTTGCTGTCGGCTTTCAGAGCCGTACCCTATAAACTCATCGGCTTTCATCAATTGGTAATGGCAAAAAGGGCCTAAAAAAGCGTACTATTTTACAGAGCAATGGCTTCTTCGCTAAACGAAGCTTCAGGACAGAAAAAGGCCCTTACTCGCAGGTCAACCCCATATGTCATCTGCTGTCCTTTCAGACGATGCGTCATCGAGTTACAGCGCACATCCGCACGACACCTTACAGCCAAACAGCTTTTGTAAGAACGAGTTCTCACCGAAACGTTCCTGAGGGCTTATTTGGCGAATATGAACCGAATTCGCCAATCAGTACCCGATCAGCAGTTGGCACTGAGTCAGCGATGCTGATCTGTGGAATTTGCCAAGAAGTTCCTCACGTGGTCAGGTTAGAATTACTCACTGTAAATTGGCCCCATTACTTCAAATCTTGAAGCTAAGCAGTTGGCAGTCCGAGACTCATTCTAGCCACCTGGAAAAAAAGGAGAATCACTTATTGGTTCATTACTACCTTACTCTCATGGCTGACTGAGACATATATTTATAATGCGTAAAACTTAATACGACGGACAGTGTTGGGGGAATGGACTTGAGCCCAGCAGCGGCCAAGTTTTTCAGCGGTAGTGTTGTTCAGCTCGCAAATTACGACACGCGGTCACGCTAAGCTCGTCTACCCCTCTGATACGTCTTGCTGAGTCAAGTTTTATGCACCATATGTACATCACTTATACTTACTTAATTCTTTCCCTTGTTAGGGCATCTTGCTCACAGTCCACGTTGATGCCAATCCCCCATCAATTCCATAGCTTTTCCTTACTTTTTGCTTATACTTGGGAGGAAAGATAAATCATGAGAAGAAAAAGTACAACGTACAAATGGTACGAACCTGATCAAGGATCTTAACCGCGTCGACCAAAAAAACGATACCAAGTGATAAAACCACAGCAGCAAATGAGTACATGGTCACGTACGAAGGTGAGACTTGCAACCAGCAAAGGCTGTCGGCTGTTGTCAGACCCGACGTTAGTGCGCGGTATGCTATTTGATGGCGGTAGTGATGAACGTTGTAATTTTTTGCTATCGCTGAAAGAAACCTGATTGTCTCCGCAACCTGCGCGTATGATGCCATGAATACACCGAGAGATTGTGCTCGAATGTAATGTAGTGTAGTTTGGTCACGCTACAAGTGTTCAAAAAACGATCTTCAAATAATATGCAGTGTTCCAGGAATTCCGAAGGCGCGAAGCTAAGGCCGGAGTATACGCTTCTCTCACAAAGACTCTGCACTACTAAACTCCAGAGCCCAAGCCAATGATTCTCTGTTCCTGACTATAAAGGCATTTTACGTGGTAAACTAAGGCCACAAGCCCTATAACGTGCCAGATGACCCCTAGGCGGTCGTAATCTAACCGAAAATGTGAAAGAATTCTCGTGGAATCTTAGCAATTAGGCCGATGGGCGCCCCATAGGCCCATTTCAACCCCAGTGGCTACCAGGTAGTAGCTAGTAGCCCGCCTCTCATCGTTATGATAAGTGTGATCCATTACCCACCATATGTGATCGGAAACTTTGCTTTCAAGTGAGAAATTTTAGGGTTCATACCTTAGGGTTAGCTGCACTATCAGGTAAACGAGATGAAAGAAACAAACTATTGAAGAAGTTTTTTTTTCTCTTGAGGATTTCGAAGAATAAAGAGGCTCCTCTCAAGCTCTGCAACTCTGTAAAAGGAACAACCTGCGAAGACTGGAGCGGAAGAGAAACTCGATATGCCTCTTCTCTCTCGTGCCATCGAAGCAGGGACTACTATCAATGAAAGCACGCTGGTTTGTTTTATCCACCGCTAAGGTTACTGCAAAATTCGTCTTCAATGCTACCAACCACGACTAACGTATTATG